AAATTTGGCAGTTTATCTTCTGGTGCTGAAGAAAGTGAATGCTTAATTTTTAAAACTTCATCCCCTACTTTATAAGTTACTCCCCGTCGTTTCAAATCATAATATAGCTTCTGTTTTCTTTGTGCTACTTCCGTATTCTTTTTGCTTCTTTATTAGTTTTTCTATATCACCCATTTTAAATTCTGGGGCTCTTTGTTGCACATAAATAATTTATCTAACGGTGTTATAATCTTTCTGCCTAGAAATAACTCAGCAGGAGTTTTGCCCGTTGTATCATGTTTTGCGGTCCTAAGGGCGAAAGCAAATTCATTGACATAGTTATCCCAGCTTTTATGAAAATTTTTAACATAACTACGGATAATTTTCACTATATTTCTGTTTACCCGTTCCGCTATATTTGATTGCGGCCGATACGGGACCATTTTTAAATGACGTATGCTTGAGTTTGCTGTAGTCTTGGCGTACCAAATTGGTTTCGCTGTTGATATTGGCGTCTTCTTTCGACGTCCGCCGTTCTTCTACTTTCAAACTGGATTGCTAGCTCAAATAACTTTTCCAGTGTAATCGGATTTCTTAATTCAATAAAGTCTTGCACTTGGGGCAGTAACCTCGGCAAAATCACTTAAATTATTTCAGGATCCGGACGGTTTCCATACAAGAGTTTGAAGACGTGAATTTTTCTTAAAATAAAGCTTGAGAGGTTTTCGATTCTTTGTTGATATATACTAAAAGTTCCGTTTCTAATTTCGCACGATCCCTTACAACAGGGAAGGCTTTTAGTAGGGCAGTCTTGAAATTCTCGTAAGTATAGGTTGGGACTTCTGCTTGACCCAAGAGACTTCTGCCTATACATTTGAACCAGTTAAGCGCTTGGCCCCTCAAAGCGCTGGTAGCTAAGGTAACTTTTTGAAACTCGTGCACGGGGTTAGGCATGAAGTTGGTCCTCCAATTTTTCCAAAAAAACTGGTTACCGGTGAGTTTCCGTTAAACGTTGCTTCTGGTTTCATGGAAGCGCGCATGGTCTGGACGATGTAACCGAATCCTTCCAGGGCGGCAGCTGGCATTTCTGGATTCTGAGCCGTTTCTCTGCAGGCAGCACAGGTTCTTCTTGAAACTCGGCCATGGTTATTCTTCTTCGTTGGGCGCCACTATCAGGTTCAATGTTCCCTCTAACCTTCTTCGGGAACATACAGGACCTGACTAGGAACAGAGAGCTTACTAAAGCTATGTTCACTAATTGGTAGTAAGTAGACAGGATACAAACGAAGGGTATACAAAACCCTTTATTTTTCTCTATATACAATAACTCCGTACTTCGGAATACAATGACCCGCCACCTCGGGGTCTAACGTAAAAGTATAAAAATAAAACTAAACTCTAATTTAACTTTAGAATAATACACTTGGAAGATTGGGCCTTATAATAACAGGAAGCGTATGTAGCACAGAGACTGTGAACACTACAATACGTTTTAATTTATCAAGAGGATTAAAACCTCTGGCCTGGAAGGCAAACAGCAACTGCGTAACTTCTAAGGTAAGCGGCCTGCGTTGACTCACTGCTTCCTCTCTTTCGCTTGGCAAAAAGGCCACACTTAAATACTTGGCGTTCGCCAGACAAACTTTGCATAAAAACCTTCACGCTTATAATTCTGGCCGGAAGTAGAAAATAAGAAGTGATAGTAAAGATTTAAAATAAAATAAACGTTAGTAAAACTTAAGATCCTTACACCGTTACACCACGAAGGCTTGCTGGAAGGAGAGAGAAAATATCCTAATACTATATCCTGGTAACGGAATAAAATTATATGTTAAATATTCAACACTATTATTATTTGCGTTTTATTTTTCAACTTACTTATATTTGTTATATGTAAAAAAAAGGGGGGGACGCAATATGCTTTATTTTATTCAGAACGTGAGAACTGCTTCCAGTTTATTCATTGACATTTATTTTAACTTTAATAACAATGAAATGGTTCACAATTATTTTCTTTTATATTAAACCATTCGCAGATCCAAATCGACATTGTCCACGCTAGCCCCAAATTTATTTAAATTTGCTAAACACTCTTTCAGTAATAAGGACCCTGGTTTAAAATATTATCTGCTTTTGGGAAGAAGTTTCTGTGAAAAATTTTTTTGATACTATGCTGCTCATACCCGTTATTCCAGACATAAAACATAAACAAAGCGAAGGGGTGCAATAAAATTTTGACTGAAAATGTGGATTGTAATATTCCGATTTTGTTTAAACAAATCGTAAGTGTGTGGGATTCTACTCTTTTATCTAACAGCTAAATGTGAGGAACCTCTTGAACATATAAGCGAATAATCGCTTGAGTTCAGGAACAGAGATGTAATACTCAAGAATGGTTGATTGCCCTTTATTATTCCAAAGAAGAATTGAACAGTCGGCTCCTTTCTCAGATCGTGCAGAGGTCTCCACCTGGGCTTGAACTCAAAGTAACCAGAAATAAAACTTAGCTAATGCTTAATTAAAAAGATATAGAAGCTATCAAGATTTCTAAGTATTTGGCTCCTAAGATTAGAGAGCGAGTAATAGAGAGAGCGTAGTAACTTAGAGAGAGACGTAGCCAAAAGGCGGAACGCGCACTAGGTCGGAAACTCTGGCTCTGTAACGAAGTCAGTGGAACTTCGACTTCAGTACCACTCTTACTCATTTGCATTAAACGCGATTCTAAAAATACATTCAGGCAGGAAACTACTATTTGAAATTAGGATGGATAGGAAAGTAGCTTTAACTAAAGATAACTGTTAAAAACTTAGTATAAACCTTACAACTGAAAGGTTATGTTTTGATTACGATGCAGCGCCAATGATCTGCATGCTAGAGGAAAATCCATTTCGGCCATTAAGAATAACTTCTGTTTCAGACGTCTTGGGTACAGATCATGTGAGTGATTTCTGATCGACAGAGAGTAAATTCACCAGGAAAGCATACGTTGGTGAAATGTAGAGACGGAATTTCAAATTTTACAAAGAGATGATAAACCGACGTATGAAAAGAATTCAGCGCGTTAGGCGAAAATTTATCAATCAGTTTGTAGAGTTTTATATTAATTAACCAGCTATCTAACTATTTCTTTTGTACTTTCACCTCTGTTTTTATCGGTTCCCATCAGGGTGCAAACTGGTTAACGTATTTAATAGCAGTCTTGAATTCGAGAGAGATCTTTTGGGACCTATTACTGACCTTCACTCTACTACTTCTCGCGGCGAGAGAATTAATACTTAATCCGGCTTCGGCTTTAGCTTTACTAGCGGTAACTGCTCATGATAGATTGACAGCTTGAGCTAAATCTTGTAGACGCGCTTTACCTCATAATTTAATATCAGTCTTACTTAGTGCTTGTTTCTGAACTTTACTTAGTGCTTGTTTCTGAACCTGCAAGATTTAAATTTTTATTATTGCATAGGTTGCGTAACCTTCAGGTTCCTGAGTAAACAAAAAACAAATTAGTTTAAACCGTCTGAGTTTGCATTATTCTAATTAGAAGTTACGGCAAGATGATAAAGCGCCTGACAATTTTTATGATTCCATGAATTAACATTTAGAGTAGTTTGGATCCGTACAGATAACCGATTTTTTATTCGTAATAGCTGTTCAATCAACTTAATTCTTGTTTAGCAGTTTAGTTCCAGAAGGTACACAGAACAGGTACCAGAAGCAGATGCAGACCGACCCACTTAACCAAACAAGTTGGTCTTATGGTCATAACACGCCATACCCATTTCAACAAAGGAAAAATAAGTAAAACATAAAATAACTAAATGAAAATAATCATGTGTTAATAATAATTAAAAACATAATAGTGAATGAAAGGACATATACAAACATTTAGACAAAAGTAAACATCAAAGACAAAAAACGGGAACAACAGACACAAACAATGGTTGCAAAACATTTAGTGAAAGTAAATAGACTAAATAATGATGGCGATAAGAAGCAAAAATCATCCACTGATTCCCAAAGTCCGGCTCTCACCGTTAATAATTTTCACAATAGATTTGCATAATTGTGAGAAATCTTTATAGCATAAAATGGGATGTTCAAAATTAATTTTTATATTGTTTCTTGCGCTATTAAAATAGGGACAGACCTCGAGAAAGTGCTTAGCACCACCAACCAAACCACATAGTTTACATTTCTCGTCGTCTTGTATCTTAAGCCTAGCGATGTATCTCGGGTAACGCTCATGTCGCAGTTTATAAGGTATTTTCTCCCTCCCTTCTAGCATGCCTTCATCGTATAATGGTAGCACACTCGGCACGTATTCGAGAAGTCCAGGTTCGAGTTTCGGCTATGGCACTGCTCATTTTTCACGTCTCCTGCATTAAAATAGCTTAATGACTGTTAAAAAGGAGCACGAATTAAAAGGTGGTGGACAGTAATTCGTCACCCCCAGGATTTGGATATTGGGTCCCCAGTCGACCTTTAGAAGGGAGAATACATAAGGTATTTTCTCTCTCCTTCCAGCATGCTTTAGTGATGTAACGGTAGCACACTCGGCGTGTATTCGAGAGGTCAAGGTTCGGATTGCTGCGAGGGCATTGCACTTTTTTCACAACTCCTGCTTCAAAATAACTTGATATTTATTAATGATCCCACTTATTTACCAGATTTGTCTCTGAAGATTAATTTATTACTTAAATGAGAGATTTAATCTTCATTTTAATAGTATTTCAGAAATGTAAAACATATTTTTAACGAGATAAGTAAAGAACACTTGACTAGGTGATTTCTAAGAAGGCATCCAAAAGTTCTATGAACATGTAAGGAATGTAAGCAGATGGCTAAAGAGTTATAAAATGTGTTTCTTCAGATCTCGACTTTTCACGAATTCATTTTAAAACCAGATTACCAGGCCCTGCATATGTTATTGAAATAACAAGAACCGTCTGTTTTCTGTTGTATTAACATTTCATTATTGTGGGAACCATTCATACTTATTGCAAAAGAGATGACGAATTTCTTACCCGGTTATTCATCCCGTTCTGTGCCATCTTCTGGGGTACAGTTTTGAAACCCCAATCTGCAGTGTAGCCCTGTAATGCGGGTGCCAACAATGGTATGGCACTGATCCAAGGAGCAGTGGTCCCAGCTTCTACTACCAGAACGGTGTGATTGCTCGATTCCCACAGCCTTCGTGCGAGAACACAACCCGCTGTACCTCCTCCCACTGCAAGACAAGACGCATGGAGATTCATATGAGCTATAATATGAAGCTGGAGATGGGCACTTTTTACAAATGCTCAAACTAAACATACCTCCGGTGCCATGTCAAAAACACGAATCTGTCCCCCCATCACCACCAATGAGAATATTTTTGCCTTTTCCCCCATCTTCGATGTTTTATACTGTGCTAATAAAAAACATAAACTAATATAAATAATTATTGTCTATAAAATATGATTCGAATGGTTTGCATTACCAAAAGCATATCAAACCTTTAAACTCTTTTTCTCAAAAGTGGTTTTTCAGATTCGTGGTTTTGGCGTAGTGTTACGACACAGTTAATCTAAAGAAGTAAATAAAATTTACATTTTGATCTACTTGGCAAATTTTTATGCTGCCCTCTATTTTTTTAAGATGGATGTTTGAAGGCAATCGTGCTTAAGTAGTAACATAAAATTTAAAATAGAAAATTAGTTTACGTGAAAGCTTTAGTTAAGGTTTGAATGGCAATGTTATATAATTTTCGTTATTGATTAAAAACTCACACTACCGCTTACATTTTAGTAAAAGATTAGATTAATTTTATTCACCACCAGAACAAAATTGTTTTTAACTTATGTGTTTTGTTGAGTTTGGAAGTTAAGTGAATTGTGAATTGGTTGTTATGCGAATAGTTATTGTTAAGTAAACAACATTATTGTTAGGTGAATCAGTTTATCACTAGAAATTACTGATGAGAAAGAGAAAGTGAGTGACTTTTGTATATCCTTGTACAGTAATTACCTTTGTGCGAATTGCAAAGCATTTCTAAGGAACTTTAAATTTAAATGCAATGTATTAAGGGCATTTAAAAGCAAAAACTGCAAAATTCTGTTTTGCAAACTGCAAAACAGAAAACTCAAAATAACTTTTATGTTTTTGGATGCTTTTTGTATTTTAAATCATAAAATATTAAAAGAAATGGCATAATGCCATTACATCAAATTTTATTTTAATAAAAGATTTCGACTTTCCAAGATTAATGAATAAATTTTAAATGAAAGTCTCTTAAGACATAATTCTACTTCATCACTAATGACATTTAAATATAACTATAATTTAAGAAAAAATTCATATTCTTTCCGGTTTTAGAAATTTACAGATTATAAGCTCTCGGAAAGAAATAAGTCAACTATGAAATTTCCATAAATTAGGCATTATTTAACATTGCATAAACTACTGTAGAGTAATTAGAATACAGCATGAAAATGGCGTTATATTTAGGTAAATAAAGAAAGAGTAATATACATAAACTTGAGTACAATTTTTTTGCAAACCTATTCTATATAATTTTTATGTGCACAATGCGCAAAGTGCACTATTAAATTTCTCTTTAGTATTGTTTTAACATAAAAAAAAAAAAAAAAAAAAAACTCATGCAAACACCACATGATTTCCTTGTACAGCCTATTAAAGTTTTCATAATTTTTGTTGCATTTCCTTTAAACTTATTTCCTCGAATTTCATGAGAGATATATTTCTAATTCAATCAGTTCAGTTCTCACTTCGCGGCAAGGCACAAAAACAAAAAAATTAAAAACATCTTCATAAAATTTGATTTTAAATACCAAATACAGTTAAAAATAAGTTTTACAATTAAAATGAGAGGTTCTTCGCAAACACAGGTAATTCGGCCAACGAGCAGGAAAACAGCTTTTTTAGTGCAGAGAATTGAGAGCTTACTATTGGTCCCACTCTGCAAAAAGACATTGAAGTTGGTGCACCAACTGACTTGATTCGCTATTTTACAAAGTTTTAAATGTAAACAAATGGCGGCCTCATTAGGATTAGTATCACTTAAAAATTTAAAACTATTGCATATAAATTAATTAAAGGCATAAAAACCTTAACCGGAAGATCAGAGCAACATAAAAAGAGTGCACAATTTACCAATATAATAAGAATAAAAGTACTGAGCTCACACAGAACCGGGTAACAGAGTGGGTACATATATACATATATTCATACATGTTTGGTGCGACTGATTGCAACCAAAAAGGGAGGTGGGCAACTAAATGTTATAGCATTCCCATATACAAAATTTCAAAGTTCTGAGACTACTCGTTTTTGAGTTATTTGAGATAAATATATACATATGTACATGTCACAAAAATCACTTCTAAATCCATTCTTTAAATCTATCATTTTTTAATACTGTTTTTTAAATCCATTGTTAATTCATTTATATTATTAAATACATTCTGTTTTGAAAAAAGTGTCCTTTATTCGGTGCGTACCTACAAATGTCACACAAAAACTTTATTCAAATGGATTCGAGAGCGGTGAAATGGATATTTTCGTTGAAATATGATACCCGAAACTTTTCGCAATTATAAGACTTCCTTTACTTCGTCCAAGGAAGTGAAAAAGAACTTAAAAAAGCAAAAATAAGCTAAAATTAAATAATTAATTATTCAAATGTTAGTCTTACGAATATTAAACCCATTTTATTGGCTTTAACAGGTACAATTATCTTTCAATTAAATGTGATATTGTTTGTTAAATTTTATTACTACAGATGAAAATGAAAACATATTGACAATTAAAGATTTATCACTCTAAATGATTATTAATGATATAATCGTAAGTGAAAGCTAACTGACAAACAAAACTTTGTCACCGCTTAATATGTTTTTCTTGAGATAGTTTTTATTAAAGATCAAACGTATTCACTGGAATATTCCTTGAGTAAGATATAAAGAAAATGTAAATAACAACAGAGTGAAAAAGCTTGTTTTAATCTTCTTATTATTCATTTCATCCTATCGTAATCCTGAAAGGAGCAAATAACGCTTCTGGGGAATATCTGAAGTATAAAATGCATTTTCAGGCAATATTATTTTAAAGTTGTTTAACTTAGCGTCGTTGTCGCCTTGGGATATTTTACATTTTGGCAGTTTGGCTGTGATGTGTTCTTCCTGCGGCGGCTTTTCGTACGTAATGTTTTCGACGTCGTGTTTTCGCTGGAATAAACAGATTTTATAGAGTATTGGGCACCAGATTCAAATAAGGATGGGAGCTACGTATTTCAAAATTTTAAACTATTTGATCAACTATGTATCTGTTTAAATTAATTTTACCATTTTACATATTATTTTTTATCCTAAAATTACAATATGTAATATTAGTTTCCTTCCTTATTTAGGTATGGCAAAGGTCACGAGGCCTATCACTAATGTATTAGGTTTTTGCAAAAGTTTCACCGAATTCTAAACAAGCTGAAGTTATTGAATACTGATAGCATTTTTTTTTTTTTTGCTATTCATAAATTTAAGAAGGCATTTACCATTTTAAAATAAATTATGGGGTCTTAAGTTAAACACGTATCTACTTCTTTACCTCCTTGCGCGAAGTGAAGGAAGTATTTTGTAATCACGAAATATTCCGGATATAATATTTCAACGAAAATATCCAATTTGACCACTATCGAATCCAATTTAATGATGTTTTCGCGTGACATCTCTGCTTAAGGACGGAATAAAGGGTTCTTCCCCCCGAATAGATAATAAAATTGATTTAAAATGGATTCAGAAGAAAGTTTTTTACTGACGTTTGTACGTACGTACGTATGTATATATCAAGCATAACTCAAAAACGAGTAGCTTCAGAACGTTGAAATTTTGTATATAGGACTGCTGTAACATGTAGTCTCGCATCACTCTTTTTGGTTACAATCGGCTGCACCAAAAGTATTATATATATATATATATGTGTGTGTGTAAGATATAATAAAATATGATAGCTGTTTGAAAAAAATAATTGGCGACCTCAAAATTAACATTCTAAATTTGGTGATCTGCCCCTAAATTCATCTTTTCTCACAGGTTCCAGATTTTTCTATCTTACGTAATGTTTTAATGCAGATGCCTCTTGTCCAATCAAATTAATTGTAAACCAAAACTCTAAACTGAAACTTTTCCGACTCCCACCCTTCTTCCTCTGAAGTTCTATGACACTCTCTCCTTTTCCGCATAAGCTCTTCTGCCGGCAAGATGCTTTTTATGTAAGCTGCTACCGCTTACTTGCTTAAAATGACGTCGTACTTCAAAATGCAACTTACTGTACTCAAGTAAAATTAGGAAACATCTTGTCTGAAAAAGGATGATTTGATATGCTTAAAAAAATAAAGATTGTGATTTTTCAAGACACGTTGTGCTAAATTGCGTCATCATGCTTTCTACTCTGCACACTACAGTCTTCTCGGTCATCTACGCTGTATCTAAGCTGTTAGAAGTTCTACTGTTTCCATCTACACATTTGAAATCATTACATATAATATACTGACACTCGGCTTGATGAGCTCAGTTTTTTTAAAAAAATCTTATATGTTGGTAAATTGTGCATTTTTTGGTTTAGAAACTATTGAAATGTGGTTCTTATCTTCCGATTAAGATTTTTATGTCTTAAGTTAATCTGCATGCAATAGTTGTAGAATAATCAACAGTTTAAAAATTATTTAAGTGCGGCTAAGCTCAATTTTTGTTTACCATAGCTGTCATATTTGTTTACATTTGAAACTTAGCAGAGTAGTGAAGTAAGTCAGTTTCTGCACCTGCAATGTCTTTTTACCGAGTGGTTCCGGTAAAAAGAATTGAAATATAAATTTTTTCCATATTTAAATATTTCAGTTCTACGACTCAAATTACGCCAAACTACCAAGTTTTATAAAAATCGCACAAAGAATTTTTAAAAATTTAGCTCTCAAAATTTTAGCTCCTCAATATTAATTTTGATATATATTGATTAATCTCTCTTTTTTATTAATCTTATTTGATTCTTCCTTTCCCATTTCAAAATTCAGGTTCATTCCAAATAAAATTCACCCATTTTTTATGATTTATTTTTTAAATTTATATTTTAAAATAATTTTTATAAATTTTTCAAAACATTTTGTATAATAATCTGTAAAACGTTTCCCATCATCTTAATGTAGATGTATTTCTAAGCATACCTGCAAAAATTACAGTTTTTCATTCAAAATTTCCGAAGATATACGCTAATTTATACATTGGCACGTTTTGAAATTTGGCATATCTGTTGAGAGCGATAAAGCATCAAATGTGGCTTAGACACTTTTAAAATTACTTGAAAGTAGGAATGATGTGACTTTTTACCGCTCATGCACAGTGTAAAAATGTAGGAACGATTTGCCTTTTTTTCGGCTCCGGCATAATTGAAAGAAAAGGAAAACAGGTTGCCGTATATCAAGGAGTTCATCAAGTGAATTATTTTTGGCGCAAACTTAAAAAAATACTCCAAGATAAATTTTTGAATTTTTTCGTAAATTTCACACCAAATTTTACAAAATTTAATATCTACGCATAATCTGAGTCGTAGAATCGAAATATGGAAAACAAATTGGTATGTTATTTTAGAAAAAGTCCGATTTTGTGTCAGAATACCTATGTTAGAACAATGCTATATATAAATCTAATATATATCCTAAGTTGCGCTTTCGAGACATGAAAAACGCAATTTGAATTTTGTCAATCGGCCCAGTAGAACGGGAGATATAGTCCAATTTTTTTCCTCGCACTGTACACGATGATAAATTCATTTTCACAGCAACGCTTTAAAATTTTACCACAATGTATAGAAAATAAAAAAAAATAATAATAAAAAAACTCACCTATAATGAAATCATAATGTTGAAAAGGAATGTCTATAATGCCGTGTGTTGACCATCTCCACTTAAGAAGGCTGTTCGCTACTATAGCAAGGAGCAGAACACAGGCAGCGACTGAAAGAAAAGTATCAAGATTACATTTAAAAATATGAAATCAGCATGAGTAAAAGTTTGTTGCGATTGCTTGAACTAGATTTTTTCTTTAAAAAAAGCAACTTTTGCACAAGAACTGAATCATTTTCACTTCTGTGTCTAAAAATGTTTAATGAAAATTATAAAAAGTTCTGTGTATAAAAATGTTTAATGAAAATTATAAAAGTAAAGTTGACTTATAGATACTTGTTAAATCTGAGACATTTTTGTTGGACATGTTGTAAGGAGTTTTGTGTTAATTAACCAATTATTGTGATTTAACCTTTACTATAACTTCTCCTTTCCATAGTCATCACTAGGATCAAAATTAGATGGAAGACTCTTTCCGTCGAGGGTTTTGAATGTTTTAGATATAGAGCTTTTAACAAATGCCTGCAGTTTACGTTTGATCATCCAGCTCCGCCCGTTAATATGCCGGCCTTAGCCATTTTACTAGCCGACCTTAAAAAGGTGTTGTTAAAGTTTTGAGCCAGCATAAGCAGACCAATTTGTGTAGTCTGTGACTGCGATACCTCTAAACTGAAATTTCTACTTTGTTATTTTAATTATATGAAGATGATGAAATTTTTCTTCATAGGAACAAGCTATGCTTTCTGCTCATTTAGGGATTTAAATAAAGGGGTTACTTGAATCCTTCTTAAGATTTTGTTGCAATATTTCAGACTGAGCGATAATGCGATCATCAATCTAGAGGGTGACCCAAAAGTCCGTTAACATTTGAAAATTCAATAGTTCACCGAATAATGTAGGCAGGGAGGTAAAAGGTTACACATACTTGAAATGATACGGGGTTTTATTTAAAACAATAACTAAATAAATAAAATGTAAAAAAAAAATTGAGAAAAAGGCCAATATATATCTCTGGGCAGCAAAATGTGATGTGGATTTATCACATCAATCGTGATCGGACCTTTTTTCTTCGAGGAAATGCATGGTTCCGCTATTCAAACTGTCAGTGTGATGGGTGCTAGGTACGCTGATATGTTACAGAATCGCGTCATTCCTCGTCTGGCTGATAAACATCTGTTGGAAGGCATGACCTTTTGTGTAGGATGGTCGCTCCACTCCATATTGCTACACGTGTGAAAAAACTCTTTCAGGCATCGTCTGGTGAGGATCGCGTGCTGAGCCGACTCGACTACAGATATTGTTGACGAATGACGGCCGACATGTTGAACATTTGTTATAAACTCATAGTCTTTGGAAAAATCAATTGTTACGCTAATTATTGCTTTTGTTATCATACAAAGCGCCATCTGTTAGCCGATTTAAGCGCTTTTCTTACTTTCAATAAAACCGCATGACATTTCCAGCATGTGCGTCAGTTTTTACCTCTATATCTATATTATTCAGTGAATTGCAGAATTTTCAAATGTTAATGGACTTCTGGGTCACCTTGTAATAGGGTCAGAAGGACATTTAATTAATTTTGCATAATTGGGATCCTACAAGGTAAATGTAACTAATAATCTCAAATGAGTTCAAAATCTTGAAGAATGATCTCGCTTCTAATAATAGTAGAACAGTAATTAAATTCTCTGAAAATTCTTGTGGAGAGCCTGAGAAAAGGAAAAAAAAAAATTCGTCAATTTTTGATCCACGTGCACTGACTGAGAAACTCGAATAGTCAAGATGTTATTGAAATGGCAGACAGCTGCTCTAGTTTTTAGACAAATCTTAAAATTGTGCACCTAAAGAGCTCGTGGGTATTTCTCAGTTACTGTAGAGCACTTCTGTATTTCTCAGTTACTGTAGAAAGTGAAGAATCTTAAGAACTGCTAAGCGAATAATCGCGTAAGTTCGTGTGACAAGAAACAACAAGATGGAAGGGTAATTAACCCTTTATTATTCAAATAAGATTTAACAGAACTCCGTCTTGGAGTGTACAATAAAAGCGGACACTTGGACTTGAACTTAAGAGACTAAGAAATAAACTGAAACTAATTTTAAACTAAAAAAAGAGATATAGCCGAAGCTATCAAGATTCTAACCGAGTTGGCCCCTTAACTCTAAATGACTACGAAGCTATCAAGCCCTGAGTACAGCCGAGCGTAATAACAGCTTTGAGAGAGATTAGCCAAAAAGGCAGGCGCGCGCAAATCAGAAACTCTGATTCTCTCTAACTCAGCGAGTAGAACTTCGCGGTTAAATACCGCTCTTCCTCATTATGTATTCAGAGTGATTCTAAAACTACTTTCGGGCGGGAAGTAGAAAGTTGAAGTTAAGAATTTGACAGGAAAGGAACTTTAACTTAAAATTTAACTGTTAATAAAATCAACATAATCCTTACAAGCTTATGACCAAAAGACAATGATTTGCATGGATAAATGAATAATTATACTTGCTATAGAAATTTCGGTTTGAATGCCTGTAGAAAAAACTACGAAGCTTGCTTACTTTGATTGTGAACATCATTTTACAAGACGTTTCTGCCTGAAAAACAGCTATTATTTTCCATTCACGACATGAAAAGTAGAAAATATTTAATTGCTTCCTATTCAAATATTTTCTACTATTTAAGTAAAAGAATCTTCGAAAATCTATTAGTTCCTTTTTCTTACAAAGGAATCATAGATCGGATGTTAAAAGAGTTCAGAACTTTAGGGAAAAAAACAAGACAAGATAATAATTTTTATTGCATGTTTTTTGCCCCTTCGCAGAATGCAACAATCTGCAAGCAATTTATTGCAACTAACAGTGGAATTATTTTCCAACCATCCTCTTCATTAACTAAATCTGGCAGATGCTTCCCCCCCCGAAAAAAAAGATTTTTGACAAACTTTCAGAAAACAATAATATTGTTAAATTTTCCACTGACTTTTACGATGGCACACTGAAGCTGTACAAACAAGCAAACTATATGTATTGTATAGCCTTAGAAGGAATGCACGTGTGAAGGTTAAATTTTTTAAAAATTGTGTTATCTAAATACCAAATTTTTATAAATTATCTCCTAAAACATATTTATGTGACATACAAAATATGAAGAAAAAAAAATCTGAAAGGTTTCAGAATTTAAATGTCGCCCAAAGGGACTTTTTTTAACACTTTACGTGTTACCTTTATTTATTAAATATAATGTTCTTCGCACTTAAACCATAAAATTCAGTTCAAGAACAATATCGCAAAATAATTTTAAATTGAGCATATCTTTAGAATTTCCGATACACAGTCTCGCGCTTTGGAGATAAAAATGTTTTTATATACAACGTTACCATTGCTTGAAGTACTTGAGTTTCTTAATCAAAAATTCGTTATAGTTTTACAAAATATGAAATCGATAATAAAACAAAATCTAAATTTCAAATTTGGGCTTCCAAACGCCCATATTTGAAGTAGGATTACATCATTCAAAATTGGATGGTTTTATGTTTATATACCGTTGTTTTGTCACAATGGGAGAAATATATATGCATTTACGCAGATTTTTCATTATTTAATATCTTTAAATAAAATGCAGGGCGAGAATATTTGGTGGCAACAATCTGAAAAGTGATTCAGACTTTTAAAGTTTTCGACGCAAAATGCCAAAACGAAATTAATATTCATTCTGGACTAATGCACTTTGACCCAATAAATTATAAATTAAATTCGCAATAATACCTTCATACTTAATTTGATATTTTCCCTTTTTATCCTAAATATAGTGTCTTTTTCTGCTTTGCGCCATTTTGAGAGTAATCCATGCCATGTGGCTCTTACATAACGCTGGTGTTGTAAATGGAACTAAAATTTAAACAGCTAATTATAATTTTACAGCAGTATTAATTGTCCAATCAAATGCACCGAATTAAGTTTTCATTCCGAACACAACTTTCTTGTTTCTACACTTTGGCTCGCTGCTCTCTTCTTACTCCGAAGCTATCAAAAATGTAAACATTTTGAAATAGACACAAGTAATGTCCTAAGTTGTTTGTGGCGACAACATATTTACTGAAATAAATAATGAAGATTTAATCTGCCTCGGCTGCCAGTTTACTTTTCAATACGGATCAACATTCAACGCAATCAAAATTCTTGCTGTTCATTACGGATTCAACATTATACGTATCTACGTCATCTATATATTTCTACAACAATATATATTGCTTTGTTACATTTACATTAAAAATTATATGAGATATTAAATAAAAAAAATTATTAGGTAAAAATAACTGCCTAATACTAATGATTATAACTGAGAAAAACACATTAGCATATTAGGAATAAAACTAATGTGGACACCACATGACTTCCTTGTACGGTCTATTAAATTATACATAACATTTTTGCTGCATATCATTTAAACGTTTTTCCTCGAATTTCATTAGAAATTTCTCATTCAGTTAATTCAGTTCTCACTTCGCGGCAAGACAGAAATACATAAACACTCAAAACATTTTCATTAAAAATTGTAAAATACAGAAAAACATGAAACATCAACTACAGTTAAAACAGTTAAAAAAATTTTTTTTAGAATTAAAATTAGAGTTTCTATGAAAAAACAAGCAATACGGCTAATGGGCAGGAAGACAGATTTTTCGGTGCTATAAAACTGAAAGTTTACTTTTGATCCCTTTCGGCAAAAAGACACTGAATTTGGTGCGCAGACTGACTGAATTCACTGTTCTACTAAAGCCCATATCACACGGCATTTGTTTCACACGAACAACTGTTTCGGACAATTTTTCTGCCTGGTTAACTATTGAAAGAAAGACGTGCAACTTTTCCTTTCCTTTCCAAAAAAATTGCAAGTTGTTCGTTTTCTACCAATCAACTATCAGCTCGGAATGCTATCAGCTTGTTTGTAATGGGGAACCAGTTTACCCTGAGTTAACCCAAAAGCGATCTATGGGGATTGGCTTTTGTGACAAAGCAGAAAAATTGTTCCAAACAGTTGTTCTTCCGAAACAAACCGACGTGTGATAGCAGCCTAAGTGTTTCAAATGCAAACAAATGGCGTCCACGTTAGGCTTATTACC